ATCAAAAGTATATATATATATAAATATATAAAAAGTTAACTTCTTTCTATCTATATATATATATACTATAAAATTTGAATGACTTTAAATATAAAATACACGATGGTTATTTCAAAATAAAAATACAAAAATAAGTTAAACCAAAAATAAGAATAAGAAAATATAAAAATTAAAAAATATAAATTTGAATCTCTTAATATTCTCCCTCTTCTAAAATGCTGTCTTGAGAGCTTGTTATCCAAGTTGTTTATCGTTGTTGCTATTCTTGTACGTAGGTTTGTCCATATCCTTTTGAGTTTGTATGTTGGGTTATCCAAATCGTTAGCTTGTTATCCTTATCGTAAGTTGTTTTCATCAATCCTTGCTTGTCGTACTCGCTGCTATTAATACCAATTTTCAAAATTGTTATCATCATATCAGTTATGAATAATTAGGAATATTTGCGATACTATAAAATTTAATTAATTTGCGAAAGTATATATTTACATAAAAATTAACTTCAATATTCATAAAAAGATAGCCTTTTAGATACCAGAATTTTTACTGGCCCATCTTGATGAGAGACAATACATATTGGAGAATATAGGATTTAATTAAGAAAGTAAACTCATATAAAAATTCAATAATTATGAAAAGATAAAACATTTCAAATTTTTTCTGAAACCCGTTGATTTTCCAATTACCTTGAAAAAAATAAAAAAAACATATCCGGGTCTTTCACTGCCCTTATCTCTGTCTCCCACTTCCGCACCTCAACCGCCCTGGTTCGATCCCCCTCTCAGCTGAGCATGCCTAACCCCCCTTTCTCCCATACAGAAATTTTATAGGGCAAAGCATTCTACCCATTTTTATAATCACCACTCTCGATTCCCATTTCTTTTCACTTCCATACAACCTTGCCCAAACTCTGTGACCTACCTCAAACCTTTTACTATTTTTCTATTCAATTTTTTGCCCTTCCTTCTCATTTTCTGGCCTCAACGCATTCAACCCAATCCGAGTTCTAAGATCCAAAAGCTTTTCTGATGGCGGCAACTCCGCCCCTTTACGGCTATTATTATTTAAACCACCTACACATATCTCACCTTCTCCAAACTTTGTCTTCCTCAACCAACTCTTTACCACACCCACCATCCTCTCATCCTGTTCATTCGACTCGGATTATAAAGTGGTGATAGCACATGTTTCGCCCCTTCTTTCCACCCAAACTTCCGGAACCCTTTACTACTAAAGGCAGGACCTTCATCGGACACGATTACCTTGGCCACGCCAAATTTCGCCCATAAATTTTTCAATTTTCTCACCGCAATCATTGATGTCAATCCACCGACAATCTCAAACTCCACCCCTTTGGAGTATGCATCTACTACGAGGAAATACTCTTTACTCAAAGTAGTCCACATGTATTCTTTCGTCCCAAACGCTTTCGAGTATTCTTTTTATCCCTCGATGGCATACTGTCACAGGTATTGCACGCTACACATTGCCTAGCCAGCCTCTTAATTTCTTCATTCATTCCCGGACCACACATATTCGTGGTCCCATTGTTTCATCCCTCCCTGATGCCCAGCATGCAACATTATCATCACAGCTTCCCTCAGTCTATTAGTTACCATATTTTCCGCACTACACAATTATCCAATACTGTTAATTCTTTTCTCACACTCTTGTACCATTATTTTCGCCATGGTCTGCGCCCCATTAGGCATTCCTTTACTCGACTCAAGTCTCTATCTTTCATCGTCGCCGCACGAATTTCTTCCTTGCTCACCGGGTCACCTTTTAAAATTCTTGACATCGCCCCCCCCCCCCCCCCCCATAGCCATCCCCATTTCTTCTCCACATCTTTATCCTTAACATCATCACCTGCCCCACATCTCGACATAATGTCCAGCAAATAATTCTCTCGCCCCCTTCGATGTTTCAACATCAAATCAAAACTTCTTATCAATAACAACCACCTCCGTAACCTCGGAGACATCATCAACTCTTCCTTTTTAAACAAATGTATCAAAGGCTTGTGATACGTGTATACCATAAATTGCCGCCCAATCAAATATTCTCTGCATTTGGTCGGCCTAAAAATCACTACCAAGGCCTCTTGTATTACCGAATATCTAATTTCTGCATCCCGAAATACTCTCGAGAAGAACAACACCGGTCTCTATATTCCATCCATCTTATGCAACAATACCCCTTCTACTCCTTTACTCGACGCATCCACCTCCAAGACCACTTCCAACTCATTTTTAAAACATATCAAAATTGGTCCTTGCCCTATTTATCTCTTCAGACATTCAAACCATCTCCACACTCAAATCTTACTTTTTCAACAATTTGTAAAACGGCGCTGCCACTTCAGCAAAATTCTCAACAAACTGATGAGTAATTTACCATCCTTACAAAGGATTATATCTCCGTTTTACACTGCGGCTTCACCATATTTTCAATTCCAGCCATATTCTTATCCAGTGGCCATACTTTCATTCCATTATTCTAATGTTCTAAATACACAATCTCCATTACTCCCATTAAACTTTTCTCTCTTCTCGCTCGCAATCGAAATCAGCCTTCGGTTATGATGCTCTTGTGTGACCTCCATTATCTGCTCTTGTGTGACCTCCATTATCAACATATCATCCATATAATAAAATAAATCCCTAAAACACTGCCATCTTCGTTTAATATTGGCGCAGAAACACTACCCTTTGGCGTGGTTATCGTCACGTCAACAATTTCCGCATCCTTCCTCACCCGCAATTGCAAATATGCATTCGAAAAATTCACTTTCGAAAAATATCTGCCTCTTTTTAAATGCCAAAATTTTCTCGATCCTAGGTAACGGATATTTCACTTCAACCACCCATGGATTCAACGTTATCCAGAAATCTGCACACAACCGCAACCTACCCTTGGCCTTATTCATTGGTGCCAAAGGCGTCGCCCACTCGCTGTATTCAATCGGGCCCACTATGTCCTCCTTTACCGAGCGATCTAACTCCCACTTCACCTCCTGCCTCCAATCAAAAGGCACTCTAGCTCAATATTTCGGTACGCATCCATCCTTCATCGGTATTTTCACTTCATAATCTCTCAAGCAACCCAACTCCTAACTAAAAATTTACCTGTACTACTTTGCCAATCGCTCTACTTCCTTTTGCACTCATTCCAATTCCACCTCCAACCCTTAGTCTCCTCACTTCCTGTCCTTATTTTTGCATCTTCTGGCACTTTAATTCTCCATTTCACCTCGGTGATCCCACTACTTCCTTTATCACAACCTACCTTATCCAGCATTTGACTTTCTCTCATCGCATCTACACGATCTTTTATTGTAATTCACCCACACTCTCCTCAATAAAGAGACTCATCTTCATTCTTCTCTATATTATCCCTTCCTTCCATCTATTCCGCTGTATCTCTCGGCTCTATTTCCTCCCATTAATCCATCACTGTTTTCATGATACCATCTCTACTATCACTCTCTATGAAAAACAAACCCTATCTCGCAAATACCCCCAAAAATCATAAGCCGAACCCACTCTCGTGATCCAATCTCACCCCAGCACTGTTTCTACCCTCCGATCTATTATTCACAAGACAAGTACATATAGCTTACTCGTATACAAATTTCCATTTTTACTCTGCCCATGGCCGTTATTTCCGATCCATCAAACTGCCTCACACAAATCTCTTCTCTGTTTATAACTCTCCTGGGCCATAATTTACGATATTCCTCATATCACATCCCCGATATCGCCGCTCCAGTATTAAACAACATTGATACTACCTTTCCATTTATATTAAACAATACCCTCAGATAGGGATCAAACACAAAACCCTCTTCTCTCTCTCCTTGCAACATCCGTATCTCACTTTTCCATTTCCTTACCTTCATGCTCTTGAATTCAATAAATTTTCTGCTTGTAGTCTCTGGCTGCAATCCAGAGAGATAAGAACAGTGCGGTATACATTAAAAAAAACGGATTCTCTTGCGTCGTCGATCATTGACAAAAAACTCTTATCTCCATGTTTAATATTCATTTGTAAAAATAAAAACTCAAATTTGTGAATAAATGCAAAATATAATAACACGATGTTAGCCATTAAATTTAATATTTTTATTTTGTAATAGATAATGTGTAAAAATATAAATAAGTTAATCATTTTATAATTGATTTTTAACAGAGAGACGCAGAGATCAAAATTTGTCAATCCCGCATTTCAAAGAGATTTTTAAAAAAAGTTATCTTTGCTCGAATTTTTATTTTTTATTATTTTATAACTCGGTCGGAAATTTTAAAAATTTTATTTAGATAACTTTAATCATATTTTACAAATTTTTTTCAGAGGTGCTGGAATATGAAGTGTTAGGCCAATGGTATAATAGATTTATAAAAATTTGTGATATATTATAAGAATGTCAGATATTAATTATAATGATATTCATATATTTGATATTGGTATTTAATAAATAAGTACTAAAAATAATATTTTTCAGTAAAGTCTAATTATATATATATATATATATTTACTACATTTTCGATATATTAAGTAAATTTATAAGGAAAATTAAAAATATGAGCAGTATATAAAGTAAAGATTGGCACCTAGACCACGAGCTTATAGGAAAAATAATTTCGGACCTGACCAGGCTGAACAAATATCATTTATTTTTTGAAGTAAATTTTTTCAGTAAAAAAATAAGCTAGTGAAGCCGATGATTTCTACAAATATAGTATGAAATGCAAATGCATATTTTAAGGTTAATAATAGCATCTATGGTTTAAATTAAACAGATGAGTATTTTATTGTTATTAATTAGGTAATTGGAAATCTGTTAAAAAAGGATAAATCAAATGTAATTTTTTCGTGAAGTATAAAATAATTGATTTGGCTAAAGAACAACTGATTCTAAATTTTTTAATCGAGTATTTATAATTTTCAAGAATGATGTGACAAATCCATATAATTACAAACTGGGAAATTATTCAACATGTAAAAATAATCAAATCTTCAGTTAATATAAAAATGTGTGATAATATTACATCTTCCCTACAATATTCTCAAATTCCTTCTACTTCAATAACTATTGAAGATAAGGAAGAAATTAATAAAATTAAATCTTTACCAATCAATTCATCCTCAAATTTTAGAAAAATGATGGAGAGAATATTTGATTTTAATAGTAATTCTAATTGTAATATCAAATCAGATAAACTAAGTAAAAGGACTATATCTAACAAAGATCTTAATATTCCTAATCGAACCAGAATTTTACGATGTGTTCCCAATTTAAATTTTATAAGTTGCAAAAATGATAAAAATATTTACAATTCAAAAATTACAACAAATCCTGATATTATATGTCCTTTAAAAAATGATAATCATAATAGCACAACCAGCATTCATGAACCATCTAATCAATTGAAACCAGATACAAATATGAAACAGATATCAACTGATACATATATACCTTGGACAATGCCATTTAAATTAAGAAAAAATAACTTAGACACAATACAATGCTCCTCAAATAATCCAAAAAATATAAGTAGGAAACGAAAGAAAAATTTTAGTTACTTTAAACTTGACAATTTACTTAATATTGATGGACACCATTCTGTTAATACAACTGGTTCTTTTAGAAAAATTCACCCTAGAATGAGAAATACTGAAAAATATTCAAACCCTTTAGAACATATGAATGATGATAATCCTAATAACATTAAATTACCTGAATTTATAATTAATGGAAAAGTTATTAAGAATTCAGCTCCAGTACATCATGATCCTACGATGACAATATACCCATTTAATTTATACAAAATGGTATTATTAATTAATAATAATAATTTGAGATCATTTAATGCATTTATTTTAATAAATATAAATTATACTAATTAGATTTCAACATATAAATATTAAAATAATAATTAAATCAAGATTTTTTTAGTAAGTATAGGTATTAATTTATCTGATTTTTATATAACAATATATATAGATAAAAATATAATGTAAAAATAATATTAAGATGATTTGCAGGCCCAGCTCTTCTCAGCCTAGTTACATTGACTTAGTCGTTTTTTTAATATACCTCTGCTAGGCTTAAAAAAAATTTTTTTAAAAAAAATATCTACCACCAAGCTGAGTATTTTAAATCATCATTATTATCTAAAAATAAATAAAAATATATTTAAAAATTGTGTATCATAGAACAATATAATCAATTACTCACTTATCATATTTCCTAATTTTATTTTTTGATCCTAAGGAAATATATCTTGTAAAAAATTAATTAAACAACTAATCATTATTTTAAGTGTATTCAATTAAAAGAAACAAAAATACACTCAATATCCAAAATATAATACACTTTTTTAAGGAAAAAATTTATTTTTGATAAGTATCATTATCTCTTTTTCCCTCTGTCATATTCAGGCAATTGCATATGTTGCCAGGGAGAGAGCACAAAATGACTGATAGTTACTTATATAAAAGACTATATTAAATTAAAAGAGAAAGAATAAGGAAATTACCATCGATCATTTGAAGTGAAAGTGAGTTGATTCAAACTCACTTCATTTACAACAAATGGGGTGATAACATAATTTGAAAAGTTATTATATATGGATTTCATATTGGAAAAACTCTGTAAAATGCTGAATAGGTGTATTTTAATTTTTTAAAAAACAAAGCCATAGAAAAAATTTATACATGGAAATTTTATTGAAAAAAATCCTGGCCTGGCCAAATTTTTTTTTTCAAATCCAAGCTTGACTAAGCAAATAGTACCTCTTCAGGTCTTTGAGTCTGAATGTATATAATCATTAGCGATATATATAAATTTATATATTATTTTATAAAATAAATTAGATGGTGGAGATTTTTTTAATATTTTCATTTGGAAATGTTTATTAAGAAAGTCGAAGAAATTATATTTTATAGCATTTTTTTTTAAAAACTCAATTTAAATATAGATATTACTTTTCCTAGCATCTATCAATATTATTTTCTAGAATATAAAAGCCATATTTCTAGTTTTTCGCCTTTTTGAACAGGAACAGCTCCTTGATATGACTGGACACCAGAAACGTTATTCAGCAGATTTTGGAAAGTCGCAATTTATTGACTGACGATATTGATGTGTTGGACCTTTTGAAGAACTAAAATTAATTTGCAGACTTGTTGAACCAGATAGTGAACCATACACTATATTTATGCTCCAAAAATATTATAAATTTACCCAAATACAATAATATATTTACTTCTACTAATAATACCACTAAACTTTGCAATCATCGAAAGAAATTTTTAGATGTTAAAACTCCATTTTGACCAAGCATGGCATTAAAAATTTGTGCTTTCACTGTTATCTATTGAATCCTAAATTATGTACGCCTCAAATTTATAGGAAATTATCCAAGACTTTACAAAATAAAATCTTGGAAATTCAATAAATCTATATCTTCTTATGATTGTATCAATGACATATATAATACCTAGACTGACAGTTCATTCATTAAAATGCATTTTTAAGCGTTAAAAGCAAATCAGCGGGATCCGCCATTTTGGTAACACATATAGTAATTATTCTCATTTTAAAAACTATTATTAAATTGATAACTTGCTTCCTTATTGTCTCGATGATCCGGTAATTCTTTAATAAAGTTTGCATCAGATATAGGAATAAATTAGGCTCTCGTTTAAAATTTTAATAATGATTAGTGTAACCAAGATGGCGTCTCCAGCTGATTTGCATTGATGTACACTTTTAATGAATGAATTGTCAGTCTAGGTATTATATATGTCATTGGATTGTATATAATAATACAGCACAATATTTACGTTGTTTTTGAATATCAAATTTTAATTTTTTTAAAAAATGCATACATAAATTCGTGACTAATTGCGGCAGAGAGCGTAGACCAGCTGATTATGATCCAAGTATCAAAATACTATTACCAAATTATGGATCGTCGAACCTTTCAAAAAAAATAAGGAATGGGATTGAGATCTTTTTACTATTAATAGAATATTTTTTTTTTACTTAATCATAAGATAATAAAAATATTACTTATTTATTAAAGAACTGAAATTTTATTAATTAGTTAAAACACCCTATATACTCAGCAGTTTTAGTACCCACTGGATTTTAACAAATTTTAATTTCCCCCATTTTTTTAAAATTAATTTCAAGTATTCTTACTTAGCCTTTATAGGTGGTGTCTATTTCAGCATTTTTTTTCCTCGGCATCTAGACCGGTTACCCTCCCAACCTATTTTGGGAGACACAAAATGTTAGTGAATATTTATCAATTTTTTTAAAATTTATTTGATTATAAATTCGTATTTACAAATTTTGAATCGAATAACAAATCGAATGTGAATAATTTTCGATATACATTATTCAAAACTTTTTTGTACAATTTAAAAAAAATAAGTTAAAATATGCTAATTATTTTAATAGTTAACTCATAAAAATTTACTAAAAAACATAGATTGGATGGAATCATATGTCAAAGAAATTTCATTTTTTAATTTTCATATTAAAATTAACATTTTTATTACTATCATTTAAATTACTCGGTTTACACTGTTGAATTATTCGTTTGTATTTTATTTCTTTTTCAAAAAATCATTTATCGTAAAATTAAATTAATTAATTACTATTTTATGATGATAAAATAAAATTCACTCCTTAATTAGTTCTTAATAAGTTTAAGTGATCGACCTTTATAATTTTTATTCGATTTTTTAAATATCGACAGCTGTCGATATATAAAAATCGATCGATATATATAGGTTCGGGCAGGCTTCTAGAGACAAAACCAATCAGTTTTTCAAATCGGAAATTAAATATCATTACGCCTTTTTTTTTGACATCTATAATTAATTACTATTATTTTATTTTTTTTATTCAGAAAGATGACTCGCAACTACCCCGCTTCGACTCTTCTATAGAATGCCCTCTCTGTCTTACACGATTCCCCTCCTCCCTCGATCCTTCTCCACCCTCTTCCGTTAACAACGGTAAGAAGAGTAATAATAGCGATAATAACAATATATATCGCCTGACGTCTTGCGGGCACGGCTTTTGCAGGGATTGCCTTAGGCGATATTTCGAAATCGAAATTAACGACGGACGCGTCAACATAGCTTGCCCGCGTTGTACAGAAAAGGCCAGGCCGCAAGATTTGCGAGACGTTCTGCTCGGTAAAGATATTAAGGCGGCCGTTTCTGGGGAAAGTGTGATTTCCGAAACTATTATTGGTAAGGGGACACGCGAAGGAAAGGAGGGGGTAAGTGATTCTAATCAACTGAATTCCCATGAGACTACACCTATGGCAGATGGGGGCGTGGCAGAAAAATACTCTGATGAAAACGTTGAACAAGGCCTGAGAAAAGTTTGCAGCGAAACGGAGAAGGGCAATTTGGATGTAGTGGGAACCGGTCACGTACTATTGAGGAAATGGGAAAGGTTCACGCTAAGGAGGTTTTTAGTGTCCGAGCCGGACGCTCGTTGGTGCCCGGCCCCAGATTGCGGGTAATTTTAAGTCCAATTTAATCTATCGGTCATTTTTTTCTTCTCTCTAACTTTCCTATCGAATCTAACAAATGCTCATTTTAATAAGATTTATCATTAGGGATTTGCAAATTTCATCAATTATATTTTCTCATAATCTTGAATCGTTATCTATTATTTATAAAAATTATTAATGTTCCTTGAAGGAAAAAAAACTAATTATAAAATTTATTTTAGGTACAATTATAAAAATTAAATATTATTTTCTAAGATTTTTTACACCTTATCTTAAACAATTTATTAACTTTTAATGATATTTATCTCAAATTTGTTTTTTTTGTTATAAAGTTATATAAATTAAAATAAAAAGTGCTGCTACTATTTAATATATATTTTTAACATATTTTATTCGTTTTTTTAATAAAAAAATATCTTTCCAATATTCATAAAAAAAAAGAGAAAGACATTTTCAAGTTTTACTTATAAATGACTAGTAAATATGATAAACTCAAATATAAATCCTTCAAAATTTCTTCTTGATAACCAGTCTCTTCGCTAGAGAACTCCTAAAATAATTCGACATTCGACCAATTAAAATTCTGCCGCATAATTAAGATGGGGGGGGATCTCTTAAGAGAGCCATCAGTTTGGGAGGAAGGTAAAGGAATAATCCCTGATAAATTTTATTTTTTATATTAATTACTTGCGAATTTTTTTTAGTGTTTATTATACATCTCAAACGAGACATTATTTTGCTATAAATATTATTTGCGATATCCGATTTCTATATTTACAAGTTATGTCCAAAATTTGTTTTTTGTGTGACTAATGATAATGACTTTATTTGAAAGTTGCGACTTTTCGCAAATAACCAAATTTTTTTTTGTTCCAACACACCTTTGCTTGCCTTTAAATTTTTTTTATACAGATATTATAAAACGCATCATTTTGTTTGTTTTCTTAATCATTCATTACAAATAATACACGCTAATACCTGACATAATTTTATGGTATAATGATCCTTACATAATTACATAATATATATAAAAACATATGATTAAGCTATTTTCATTAGATGAAAGAGAATTTATTTTCGATAATAATTCCTAAATAAAATGTCTTAAAATTTGTGACTTATATAATATAATGAATGCTATTATCGTTGAAGCTACCTTCAAAATAACTCGCTACTGCTACGTTTACCTTAACAGCCACATTTTCTTCTTCGTTTGACACTCTAAAAGAGCAAATATCGAAAGCCGCGTTACGCGTTTGTAATTATGTATTTAGATTTGTGTATAGAATTTATTTTAAAATTCATAAATGATAAATAAAATATTTATTTAAAATGTTAAACGATCTGTCACAATTATGCCCAAGTGTCCTTTTTGGATGATTAGCATTTGAAATAGTGTCCAGAACCCCTCAACTTTAAAGTACGGAAAAAAAATAGAACTCAACATCTTTATCGTTAAATATGTGTTATTATAGTTTATTTTTATTTTTCATTATATCATCTACGATATTATCATTACATGAAATTTAAGCAAAATTTTTGTGGCAAGCTTATTGGATAGCGTATTTCATAGAACTCTGCTCGATCAAATCCGGCCGAACTCGCTCTTGTCAGGCGGATAGACATTTTCTCGGCTGACTTTTCTGGATTTAGATCTCGATTTTAAAAGTTATTTCGGACAGGATTCGTACTCCCTCAAAATTTTAGACGATTTTGTTTTCCCTATTTATTTTTATTTTTTGCGAGGAATTATTTTCGAGAATAACCACAAAATTTATAATACCTACAGCTCAAAGAAATATGAACCCGAATCTTAGTAAAAAATTTTTATCCTATCTACTCGAAAAATTAATAGATAGCATTACTAGTTTAGCCACTTCAATTGCTACTTTTCAGCAGCTGTATATAAAATATAAATTTAAAAGGAATTAATGGAAATATTTTCTCGATATTTTTATTAAATAATTTCCAACTATACACGTTTATGGCCGTGGGCACATTTTATTTTGCTCCATGGCAGAATTTACTGGACAGCGACCGCGTTATCTTAAATATCAATAGTTTTCTTCTTTTTTTAAAAAAAAGTGTCATATAAAGTTAGCGTGATTCGAAAATACTAGGCATAAATTTCTTATTATTATTTTATAAGATTATAATTGTTTCATGTTCCAGATTCTCTCCATAATTTATAAACTCACAAGTGTGCAGTTATAATATTTATACTAAGTAATAAATTAACCATATTATTTTTTGCATATAATTTCAAATTTTTTTTGTCTATAACTCACGATATCAATTCATCATTAAGGAGATTAGATATGTATATCATTTCTAACGTAAAATATAAATGAGAACGAACGAGTGTCATAAATGTGTTTAATTATGTCTATAATTGCCAAAAAAATATCTTAAATTGCTTTTACGGAAAAAGATAAACTATTTGTAATAATTATGGTAAATTAATTTTATACGAGGTCTAAATAATATTTATAATAAATATAAAAAATATTTAACTATACATACTTTTTATTTTAAAGTTGGCTACTATGTTTATTTCAACATGATTTTTTAAAGTGCTAAATTATTGGGTTCATTCATTAACATTACATTATACCCTCATAATTTGCTAAACATACGAAAGTAACATACGAAAGTTTTTTTTTTTATATTATCGTCAAATTCTTAAAAGTGTAAAGGTAAATTAATTAAGATTTTATAAAGTTTGCCATCATTTTTATTTTTTACAAATATTTATCATTTTATAAACCATTAAAAATAATTTAAAATTATTTTATATATATATTTTTTAGTAAAAATTCCCCTTTTTTTTTAAAAAAAAGAAAGAAATACTATTATATAATTAGGTTATATTCCCTTATGTCTGTGAAAAAAAAACCTTTTTATTTTCATATTATTATTTGTTTATAGATTAATACGAACATTCTCGTTCATTCCCTAGCTTTTAAATGCTGAAACCGATCTTCTATCATAGCCCTGGCTTATTACAAATTTTATCCTATAACTTCATTGGGTAATTGTACTCTATTTTTTCCTATTTTTAGTTGACTGTAAATGGTTAAACATAGTTTTGAAAGCTAGCACTTTCATAACCCAACTCTACTCATAGCTATGAGCACGTAGACAGGACTTAGGATTTACTCGCGCGTATTGTTACCCTCAACCATTTATTCTCCTTCAAAAAAATATAATACAGATCAGCATGTCCCGAAAATCTGAAAGCGGAGATATAATTTTTTTTTAAAAATATATTATCTACTTCCGATTATAATACAAACTATTTTTATTTATTTATTTAGTGTTGGGATTTTCTATTCCCAAGAAAAGTTTTAACAGGTTTTCGAACCAGAAATTCGGGTTCAGAAATTTTAAACTCTATTTAGCGGAAATTTAGGAAATATTAACTTAATTAGAACTGATTTTATGAGAGGGATTTCATAAATACCCCTGGTTTCAATAATTCATTTTTTAAATATTCAATCAAGGATAATGGGAAATATGAAAATTAATTTTTTTCGGTTTATGAGGGCCGCGCACGTCATGTTACAGCTCAGACCATCGAACCGGTCCTGCCAAAACTTTAAGGCTTGTTAACCAAAAATGACATTGGGTTTTGCTTAATTAGATGTGCATAGGATTTTGAGTTCTTCTGACCAATAAGTTTTTTTTGAAAAAAATGATTTAACTTTTTTTTTGTCAAAAGTGCAAAAAGTGAAAACGACGATATTGTAGGAAGGAACATGTGATTAATAGATGTTTGAGAGTATATTTTTTGACTTTTCTTTCTCTCGGCAACTTGAAGCGGATAATAATGCTAATGAAGGCGGGATGCCTTTACAAGTAAAATCCCAGGACATGCTCCTGCCGTTATCCCATGGAATGAGAGTATATCAACAGCTCCTAGGCGGCATTATTAATTGACCAATCTCGCTGTTCAAATAGTTACGGATTAACTCTATAGTCCACTCCATATGATTTAACAAATTTTTTCGTACCTTTTATATATCTATCAATCTTTTATTCAGGCAATAGAGCGGATGCCTTGCTTTAGAATCAAGACAGACACCCCACAAGCCATAGAGGCACCGTTAACACTTTTTTAGTCGATAAAAATACTGACCGGTGTTTTTCTGGGTATTACTTGCCCTTCTGACTATCGCATTATCGAATTTCGTAATTTGTTAAAATTATTTGGGAAATTTGTTAGGATAAACTTCTATTCATCGTGATTAGTCAGAACTATCCATCACGAAAGAATTTAGATTGGTGAGGTGCTAGAAGCGACTGCTCGAGAGAAGATAAATGGCTACAATCCTAATTTTTTCGGGAAACTGGATAACGCGAATGGGTCGGATTATTTTGAAAATGAGATTTGGTTAATAAACGGAAGAGGATACGATAAGGGCACAGGGGGAGTTTAGGAGTTCTTTCGACCGAATCGGAAAATAATATGCAGGCTCAAATGATCCTGAAAAATTTAAGATGAATAATATTCTCTACTACAGATTTTAAGAATTAGGAATAAATAAGGCCCTCCTAACGGAAAATTGTAATTTAGAAATATTCCAAGAATTTTGATAATTTAAATGCCTATCGCGAGGGCAAGTATCTAATATTTAGAATTATCTCATTTTTTTGATGCGATTTTGGTTTTTTATTTTTGTTATTTATTTAACAAAATTTTAAGGTTATCCCAAAGTGAGTTTCTTTTTTTTATATTGATGATGTAAGCATTATTTTAAAGAAGGTTATAAACCCTTTTTTTTCTTCCAATTCTATCATTTTAAATTTTCGAGTTTGCCAAATATAATAATTTAAATAACATCAAGAATTTCATTTCTCAAAAAATAAGGGTATTTTTGAACAAAATTCAATTTGGCCACGTAATTTAAAATGGAAAATGACTTTGGACATACCCGAAATTATGAAAATTGGCAAAAAAAAATAATATAAATTAAACGATTTTATAAGGGAGTTTTTATTTTGGCTTTCAACTCGATCCTTTAGGTGTTTAGCATTTATATGCTAAATTATATTTATACCTAATATGCGGCCATTTTTTATTGTTTTTAAAATACCAAATTTATTTGAAATGAATTTATTCTTGATCCTTATGCTTTCATCTTAAAATTGATGCGCGCGCAGTGAAATCTTAACCCTAAAACCGAATTCATAATATTAACGCCATCTTGATTTAAAATAAGAATTTAGTTGAAAGAGGCTGAATATTTACTTTTTTTTAAAAAAATGCTTTTATCATTTTAATTTTTTTTCTAAAATAATAAATAATGCATGACTCATTATATTTTTATTTATGAATGATAATTCATAAAATCAAATTTTTTGTAATTATTTTGACCCCTAAATTAATTTTTATACTATATGCCAGCAGGCAAAACAAAAATTGAGATTTATCTCTGGTTATAAAATTATCGCCGAAATCCAGTGATGGGCGGAATTTTTTTGTTTAAAATTCCACTTTTAATATCCAGTCATAGGCGAATTTTTTTTGTAAAATCAAGATCTTCTTCCGGTTATAAAAAAATATAAATGATTTAAAATTAAAAAAAATTATTCTCACAAAGGAAAATAAAATTTGATGTCATCTATCTATACTTCATTTATATATCACAAATGACGTAGGTTACGCTATTGAAAATGAAAATTATAGCGCTTCTCGCCTAATTTTGAATCCTTAGAAATTTCAGTATAACTGGAATCCAGATTCCTAGATTGCTTCCTCCATGGCAGGATCAGGAATCTTTTAGATTGTCATTCATAATCAAATTGGCTACAAATATATTCTTTTTGAATGAATTTTATGCCACTGACAGCCACTCTTTTTACAGATGGGCCAGGTGGTAAAAATGGGAATTCTTTTATTTTACACTTTTGTTTGCTAGGGAGAAATCACTAAATCACCAGTCATTCGCGCACATCTATCATTATTTTTTTTCGAATAAGTTGATTTTTTTAAAAAAAAAATTTTTTTGCGGGGAATTCATTTTATTTGTTAAAAAAAAATATTATTATAAAACTTTGCTTATATCTTATATAAATTAGAAGGAGAAGGAAAGAAAAAAAAATCCAAAAAATGGCCTTCAAAAAAAATATCAATTTATTATAAATTTGGTTTTAAAGAATGATATTTTTTTCTAATTCTTTTTATAACTAATACAGAGTGTTTAATTTATTAATTTAATTAGATTAATAGAGACTATTTTCATAATACATGTATATTAAAATATAATAATTTATTTCCCATTTTAATCATAATGATGATTTATTTATATTACATTATCTTCTACCACAATGTTTCACTTTCAACGTTTCTTTAAAATTGAATTGAAAGCTTTATGATCACAAGATTCTAGGCACAAAAGTATCTAAATAATGTATATAGATACTTTAGAAACTCTTCTGGTGGTCTAGGACAGGTATTTTCTTCGGCCTCGAACCAGACATTAATTTAAATATTTTTTAAATATGAATTTATCTTAGGATTGTTGCATAAAAGTTAGCGTAAAAAAATCAAAATTTTATAATTCATTCGATAATTTTTTCCCTTTTCCTTTAAAATTTGCGAGTTTTTTTTTGAACGTTTAATATATTTAAGTTTACTCTTGCCATATTATAAGATATATTAAAGTTTACTCTTGCCATATTATAAGCTAAACCGGCCAATCTGTCCTTATGCCTTATTTATAATTATCCGCGATGATGGTTAAGGCGATACGATTCGCGCCTACTTATAAATATTAGCCTTAAGGCTTCTATACGAAAATCAATAATTATATGCTCAAATTGAAGAAATACATATGTATGGTGAATGTATTTTTTTTAAAAAAAATTATGTAGCCAACATATTTTCCACGTTATCAAAATTATTTGAATTGGTTCTATTTTAAAAGTCGGGTTGGTTTGAGCTTTCGAGAAAACTAACCGACTTTTAAAGTAATATGTTGGATGTCGGACATTAATGGATACAGATATTTTCATCTTGATATCGTTTCACTATTAATATGCATTAAACCCCCATTTTAAGTTTAATTTTTTGAATTATCGGACATATTATAAAATGTTTGAGATTGGTTCGAACTGGTCTGTAAAAATTTATTAGCCCGGCCCGAAAAAATGTTTTCACAAGTTGCCCACCCCGGTAGGGTCATGCAAATCTCTGTTTCATATATCCCTTACAAACCTTAATTTTTAAATAGTAATTAGTTAATCCTATAAAAATGAAACAACCATTTTTAAGATTCAATTACCTAAATACCCTTTAAAATGATCAATGATGGTCTAGTTTTTTAATACTGTTTCAAAATATAAAGTTCAAATTTTTTGCAATTTCCTGTAATTAAATTGGATTTTTAAATAACTAGTTCTGCAAAATCGACAAATTTGCCTCATCATAGTGGTGGGTGAAAACTAAGCATATGCTTCTCTGAGATAATCGTTATTGGCCAATGTTAAGCCATTTTGGAGAGCTCATCAAAACTGTCTGAAATTTTGCGATTTATTAACACTACTACATATAAATTTAACCTGTCCACTATCTATCAACATTTTCTATATTATTCTAGAAGATAATCAATGTATTATAATAATGATTGACTTGATATTGATGGTTATGGTTTTTAGGAAATATATTAATTTTGTATTAAAATCGATGATTGGTTTACTCAGTTTTTGAAAATAAAAACAATATTATATATATAAAATATATCTCTATGGAATAAAATGAAATACCATTGAAATAAAAAGACTTAAAGCTAGTTAATTGAATTCTTAAGTGTATTTTTATTTTTAAAATATCCTTAATATTGCACTGACCTTATTGGAAAATTTGGAAATATTTAGTTTGATTTCTATTTCTAATATTAAAAGAAAATATTAAAAATGTCATAATTCATAAATCGAAGTGTAATTGCTAATAATTAGTAAATTTTCTTATAAATACCAGTATAAAAAAGAAATAAAGTGATTGGTTAAAAAAAATATTTTCCTTTTGCCAGAATAACTTTTATATTATTACAGATGAATGTATATTATTTTTATAAACCAATAAGGAACCCGGAATATCAGCATTTTTTCGTTTCTGTTCCTTACCGGTTCCGGTTATAACGGTGTTTTAGAACTTTCCATCTAACTTAATATATTTTTTAAATCAATATATTTTATTAATGAATTTTTTATTTAACTCATTAATATGAATCAATTATTTACATCGAATAAATAAGATTAAATTAAAATTTTTTTTTCTCTTTAATTCAACAATTATTAATATAATTATATATCCATTGATCGACATATCAAAATAAATGTTTATATAATTAAAAACTAAGTAAAATTTATAAAAAAAGCATTTATCCATTTCCATATTATGATTTTTAATAGATTTTAGGGAACATTCCCCTTCCGTAAAAATTCCGGACGTTTCCGTTCTATAATTTCAAAGTTCCTTACCAGGTCCTTGCGTACAAGTTAAAAGATACTAAGAATAATATACGTTGACTACTGACAGACATTTCGATTGAGATTTAATCTATTTTCTCATTCATAAGTTCTAGTTTATCTCATTAACTAATCAAGGATCGTATCCCCTCCCCCTAGTTTATGTAATGTTATTGTTAAACCTTTAAATATATTTTTTTTTACCTCTTCAAATAACCAAAGCTTTGCCCTGATAGCCACCGGTTGCGCCAGTTGCCCCATGCTGAAATGCGAACGACCCGGATGCAACACCTACTTTTGTTACCATTGCAAAAATGAATGGCATCCTAATTTAACGTGCGACGCCGCTAAAACCTTACGTTATAACTGCAATTTCAATGCTCTCTTTAACGGTGCCTCAACTTCTTCAGCCCTTGCCACGGCTTCTCACCCTGGTGGTATCAATTTGGATTGCCTACCTTTGCATAGCTCTATCGGTTAAAAAATACAAATTATTCATTTTTAATAAAAAAAATTTCCAAAATAGTTTTTAATTTTGCACTATGCTGACAATTTTTTTCGCATTTTTGCTTACGCCATTATGTCGTTTCTTAGATTTAATATTGGAAAAAACTAAAAAACAAATTATATTTTTTATTTTTTTTTAAAAAAAGGAATATTTTTAAATATCATTTTAATTATAAATATATGTATATTTTTAAACAAAAAATAATAAAAAATATGAATAAATTACATTACAATGTTTTCCAATTTAGAAGGGGAATTTTTTTATTTTTTTAGCCAATCAATATACTTAAAATTATTGTTATTTTGCATAAGCTCTCTCTTAAAATAAGGTTATTTCCTACGTCATTTTTTAAAATAGATATTATACATATAAAATGAAGTATATTCGCAAATTGTTCCTCCTCATATAGTATTATATAAAGGCATGACATAATGGTATTTACTACTTGAAGAATAAAATGTGCTGTAAATAAATTAAAAAGAAATACTATTTAGGGCTCAATTAAGAGGTGGCAACGTCAATGTATTAAGATGATTACTAATTTATGACATTGGCTTTGGTATTTCTTTTGGTCCGACTTTATATTCATTCTAGGCAACAAAACATGATGGAATCATCCCAGGGAGAAGTGGATGCTCATAAAAATAGGCAGACGATTATTTAAAGTGATGGCAGGAATAAAAACCTTCATTGGGATCTCCGATGCCTAAAGCCATTATTTTTTCCGAGACTTTTTATTAATTGAAAGGCCTCGTCTTCTAATATTCACAAATGTGTTGATGAAATAATTTTTCTTCTAAAAAAAATTTCTACTTTGTATAAATTATTTAATTTAGAGAGTCCATTTGAGTTTGTAGCTTTTTTTAATTGTTGTAAAGAATTTTATCGCTGTTATAAATGAAATATATTATATATATTATTAATGTTATAAATGTCATATAACAAATCAATCATACAGTTAGAATACTTGATTTCCATACACATATCAAATAAAGAAATTGTATATTGGCGACGTTAAAGAAGATAAACCAATTACTAGTGGTGGATTGAATATATCAAATGAAACGAATAATATTAATCAAGTAATTAATATTATACAAATGAAATTTGAAAATTATGATAATCAAAACAACTTTCAAGATTATATTGAATATATAGATGATGTGTTGGAGGTAAGAGGTATATTAAAATAATGAAACTAAGAAAAAAATATTATTTGCTTATATGGAGATTAGTAATTTGGCAGAGATGAGGTCTTTTGTATATCCAAAAATTTTGAAAGAACTTAATTATGACGAGATAATTGAAGTGGGTAAAAAAGTATTTAAGCATATTTCAACGTTATTCAGATTAAGTTTATTCGGATAGAAAGAGGGGATGGTGAAGCAGTTGCTGAGTTTGCAGACCGACTTAAAAAATTGGCACAAGAGTGTAATGATTCTGACCTGGATGGAAGATTGAGGGATCAGATGGTGGCTGGAATCAAAATGGGTGCATTGGAGAAAGATATTCGCACCAGATTTTCAGATGGAATAAATGACATGGGAGAAAGGGTGAGTTTTCAACAGGTTGTAAATATGGCTTTGGCAATGGAAAGGGCTGAGGATGAAGTGACAAATATGATGATAAAAAAAAGTCAATAAACCTAAGGAGCAGATAGAGAATAATCAAGGAAATTTTTCTAATCAAAAGTACCCATATAATAATAATAATAAAGAAAAAGGAAATTTTAGTTATCACAATAATAATAATAATAACTTTAAGTTCAGAGATAACAGTAAATTTAACAATAATGATATGTGTAAGTACAATGAATGCTCAAAATGTGGAAGAACTCACCCCCCTTTTCAATGTTTTGCATCAAGGGTGAAATGTTATAATTGCCAAAAGGTAGGGCATTATGCTGAATATTGTAAGGGACAGAAGTTACATGCTATGCATCAAGATAACAATGACTCATCAGATTAAATTAATAATATTTCCCAAATTGGTAGAAATAGTGCGTAGATATCTGTTAGGATAAATGGAGTACTTATAGAATTTGACTATGTTACGGGGGCACTGGTATCGGTGATTGGGAAACAATATTGGTATGAAATTGGCCGACCCAAGCTTGGACCAACCACAACCTTGTCAGTATATGGTAACCAACCGCTGGATGTACTTGGTGAGACTATGGTAAGGGTTCGTCTTGAAAAGATAAGCAGATCACTAACGATTGTGGTGACCCATTCAAATGACATACCAATATTTGGACTACCATGGATACTGGCATTTAATATGTTTATCCCACGACAAGTTACTATACGTAGTATCACAAGTAAAGAGGTTATGACAACCGATAAACAAATTGCTGGCATGACGACAGAATTTTACAGTGTTTTTGATGACAAGCCAGGACGGGTGAATGATATGGAAGTTAGCATACATCTGAGTGAGGCAGCAAGGCCGAAATCATGGCCAGCTCGTAGTGTATCTTTTCCATTAAGAAAACCAATATAAATGGAACTCGATAGATTGGTTAAACTGGAACATTGAAGGAGATTGACCCAACAAAAAAACTTTCGACATGGGCTACTCCAACAGTAAACGTACGCAAAACAAATGGAGAAATCAGGATTTGTGCGGATTTTAAGGTGACATTAAACCCATATATTTTATACGATTATCAAATTATACCAACGGTAGATGATCTTTTAACCAAATTAAAAAATGGAAGATTTGAAAGATGCATATTTACAATTACCAATAAAAGAGAGTTCAAAAGAATACTTAACCATATCAACCCATATTGGTTATTTCCAATATCAATGTATGCCTTTCGCTCTTTCTAGTGCGCCGACCATTTTCCAAAGATATATGGATAATTTATTACAAGACTGCCAAATGACCGGAGTATATCTTGACGATATTATCATAACGGGGTAAAATGATGTAGAACATTTAGCTGGGGTTGGTCGGACAGGGAACAAGAGATATTTGATAAAATAAAACAGCTTTTGTCAACAAATAAAACGCTAATTCTATATTCGCCAAACTTGCCAATTATATTAGAATGTGACGCCCCCAACACTGGTTTTGGAGCTGTGTTGTGTCAATCATAAAAAAAGGTATTAGCAGACCTATCGCATTTGCCTCGCGAACATTATTGGAGTCAGAAAAAAATTATGCACCAATAGAAAAAGAGGCACGAGCACTTTTGTTTGGAATGGTAAAATTTCATACTTTCATTTTTAGTCGAAAATTTATATTGCGAACATATCACAAACCTTTGGGAAAAATATTTGGTGATAAACGGGAACTACCAAAAATATCCAATAGTCGATTAACGCGCTGGGCTTGGAAAATGTCCGCATATGATTTTAATATGGAATGTTCCAGGAAAAGAAAATAAAGTAGCTGATACTTTATCTAGACTGCCAGTAGAAGGCATAGAATCAAATAACGATCAAAAAATGCGTTAAAAATCAGATCTATAAATTTGCACGATATAAATATTAGTCAAGTTGAACTCCAAAAGGAAACAAGGAATGATAGCTTGTTTAAAAAAGTAGTTTAAAACATTGAGCGTGGATGGGTGGAGTTTGATGAGAAAAAAGATACAGTTAGTTTGTTTTTATAATCGTAGAGAGGAATTGTCAGTAGATCATGATGTTATTGAATGGAATGGGAAGTTGGTAATTCCAACCGTTTTGAGGAAATCAATATTAACGATTATACACAGAGGGCATCCAGGAATAAATGCTATGAAATCAATTTTTAGAATGTATTGTTGGTGGCCTAATTGCGATAAAGACATTGAACAATATGTTCGTCAATGTATGCCATGTCAAAGTAACCGGTCGAATATTATGGAGGTTCCTTTATATTCGTGGAACATATCTAATATGCCATGGGAACGAATTTATTTGGATTTCGCGGGGCATATTGATTCGTATTCATGGTTAGTTGGAGTTGATGCACATACTAAATGGGTTGAGGTTGAGTTTGAGAGACCACGTCCACGACAATGATCAGGGCTTTAAGGAAATGGTTGGCACGGTTCGGAACACCTAGACAAATTGTATCAGATAATGGACCTCAATTTATTTCTGGAGAATTTCGAAAATTTTGTTTCGAGAAAAATATTAAATTGATACATATAACACCGTAACATCCAAAAACGAACGGTTTAGCGGAAAGAACGATACGAACCCTCAAGAGTCGATATTTTGCAACTAGGAAAGACATCAGGGAGCCTGAGGAAGACTGGACGTTCACCGGCAAAGTTATTATTGTGGCGAAATTTAAAAACGGGATTAAATTGGTTACATCCAAATGTTAGGGATGAAATGGAACGATCGAATATACGACAAAAAGCAGCGGATGAACATAGTCAAATGAGGGAATTTGAGATTGCACAACCGGTATGGGTGCATAATGAAATAAATTCAGGGTGGAGAGAAGGAGTTATAAAATCCAGACCTGGTCGATATTCTTATTCGGTAGAAAGCAAGGATAGAATGGTACGAAAGCATGCGGATCAACTTCGATAAAGGGAGGTAGCTAAAGAAATGGAGAAGTCTGGGCAAGTGAAAGAAAATTAAAAAAATATGGAGTCAGAAAAATGGAGAAAATATGGAGTCAGAGAGAAAGGAAGAAAATATAAAAAATAGAGAAGTTGGATATAGTTGATATTTTAGAAAATGTGGAAGATAACGGAAAACTAGGAGCGGAAATCACAAAGAGCTAGGAAACCTACAAATCGGCTGATTGAGGAGTTGTAAGATCATATGTGTGGGGATATGTTATAAATGAGATATATTATTAATGTTATAAATGTCATATACAAATTAATCATACAGTTTTATAATAATTTTCATGTGATAGAATACTTGATTTACATATACATATTAAATAAAGAAATTGTATAATCGCTAAAAATTGATATTTTGGAACTATAATTTAGGTGATATTGTCTTCAACATCGCCATTTTTAATATAATCAGAACCATTGATTTCAGTTCAACAGTTGCGACATAAAAAAGATAATGAAACGAATCTATATATGAACGCATGCAGAAAATTGAATTTATAGTTTATAATATATAACTTTAATATTATTATTATGATTTAATTTAAATCCAAAAATCAAATTTATTATAATTTTCCTTTCGCGTGATTGATTACAAATTACTAATTGCAAAAAAGTAATTGTATTTTGTATTTTAATTACACAAGTAATCGATTGCTGTCGATTCCTGTTTCATTGTTTTGTAGCGGAGTTGTGAGGCAGAATGCTCCTAAATTGAGTGTGTGATGACTGATGACTTTAATTATTGATGAATTAGCCATAGTGAACACAATTAGATCCAAAGGTGCGATGGAAATTCTCAGTTTTTTACCTGTAAAGACGCAATCCTAAACTTGAGCTAGAGATTGTCTTGACAGTATCCTAGCTATATAAATGACTGAATTGTGGCTGATCTCGAGTTTCTCTTTCGCAAGCAGATAAGGAATAAAATGGGTAACAAGTATTAAACCCGACATATTTTATGATATATTAAATAAAAAATAAGAAATATAGAAGGTCTGATAAACCCATTAATTTTATAATCAAAATAACATCATGTAAGCCTAAAGATTTTGCACATAGCTGGCAGAAATGCTTGGACATCTATTCCATCTCGATGCGCACATAATATTATTTTAGCCAAAATTTTAATCGGGTCATTTTGAAAAATCGACCCAAATCGAGCTTTTTAACAACACTAGTAACAAGCCCCCATATTTTTAAATTTTCTAATAAGAAATAATCTGATCATTACGCTATGTTCAAAATTTACAAAAACAAGTCTGGATAATGCCTATCTGTTTTTTATTTTTCAACAAAGATAAATTTTTAAATTTTTTTTATAGCTATGCTAAATCTTTGATTTTATAAATAACATTAAATGATAAATATAATTTACTTTGTAGTAATCTTTTATGACATGTTTGTCCAGTGATGTTATAAAGGATTATAATATAAATCATTAAAAAATTTTTAAATATTCTCTATATATATTTTATTATTTGTATTTTAATATGCCATTTTTTTGATAATATAATATATATTGATTTTATTCTATAATTCATAGTGTAGACAATAAATTGTATATATTAATTATTTTGTTAATTGAAACATACAGGATCGGATTCGAACATAAAAGTGTGTCCTAGATGCCAGGCCTACATCATGAAAATGGACGATGGTTCCTGCAATCATATGACATGTGCTATTTGCGGCTCCGAATTCTGTTGGCTCTGTATGAAGGAAATATCGGATTTGCATTATCTAAGGTATCTTAATAATTAGCTTTAATCGAAATTCTAGATCGATCAAATTGATCGACTTGATTCTTTCGATGAATACTATTTTAGCAGTGTTGTTAAGGTTTAGTTATTGAGGTCTGCAAAACCCACGAGGGTCGGGAAAAGGAATTATTTTTTTTATTTCGAATCGGGTTCGAGTTTTTGTTGAGTGAAATGTTTATATATTGGCATTTATACCTAAAATGTTTTAGCAATAAAAATTTGGAATTTATATATTTTCTTTATTCATTTTATTTAAATAATTTGTCATTATAAATCAAATAGTATTTCGTTAAGCATAGTATTAAATTACACAATTTATTCCCTTTATTTTTTTTATTATCTCTAAAATTTATTATAATAACAGATAATAATAGAGAGTGAAAGGGGGGGGATAATATATTAAATAATTATTTAGATCTTTTGACTATTTTTTTTAGTGTAGTTAAGTGATCGCTTACTTTTTCTTGAATAAAATTCCTTTTTTTTTGAAACAAAATGGTGGATGGGCGTTCATTTTAAACGTGAATATATCCATTTTTTTATATTCGATTTAAAATAATCTAAAAAAATTTTAAAAGTAAAATATTTCATTTTCTTGATCCTCAACTCAGCTGTTCCATTCGAACTAAGCACGCTTTTCTCTGCGAGTAATATTTTATTTGACTCCAATATGGTTTATATATTATAGAGGTGGTGTACCGTTACCTTTTTTTGGAAGTCGATCTGATTACCGATCCTATATTACTAATCAGATTTGGTTCATTATACTTATTTAAAATATTTTAACCTTTTTAATGTTACCATATTAGTTATACCATCATCTATGACTTAAATGAGGTCTTTACTCTTTAGGTCCATTTATTATAGGCGTTTGGTTATATTACATTTTATAATAATAATTTTGGGTTTTCACTTCTTTTTATTTATAATAATACTTTTTTTCTAAAAATTTGAATTATAATCATTATTTTAATAATTTTTCTTTTAAATTCTTATTTTTATAGTGATATGTTGTTACATTTTTGAGAGAGTGGGTGGTATAGGGGCACAATTTTTATTAGCTTAAAAAATATTTCTGAAAAGGACAAAATTCCGAAGGGGGGGGATTTACCCTTTATCACGATGTCTACGCTTATGGTTACCACATTTTCCATTTTAGAAAGTGAGGATAACACGAATTTGAGGCTATTTGAACGATAAATAGTATTCAATTTTTTTTTATGAAACTTATTTGACAACCACTCGTAAGATGCGTTTAATAGATAGGAATAAGAAACTACTTATATTTTAATCTTGTTAAGATTTAATCATTTATATGAAGATCCGTATATTTCTTTTCTCCGTAATAGATCCTTTATTTAAAACTCGAATGGCCTTGTATAAGGCTTTCACGGAATAAAAGAGAATTAATAATAAGCTAATCACATTTAAAAAAGCTCATTGAAGATCAAGAAATATGGAGGCTTCACATTCTAGAGTTTATTTCTAAAATTTCTTCTTTTTTTTTACGAAGAAATTGTGGGAAATTCAGACGATGCTTGTCTTTAAAATTTAAAACAAAAGAGAAAAAACGTTAAAAAATTTTCAAATAATTTCCCCAGAATAAGAACCTTTATTTATCATATATAATAACGCTGCAATACTATCATTAGCTCCGGTGGATACGCGTTTTTACCACGTGAATTTGACCGCGTTCTTATTTTTCAGGGGAGATAACCTTGTAGTCAGCATACATAGTCGTTACCCACCTTTTAATCAAATCATTTAATATTTTTTAGTCATTGACCTGGGGGGAGGGGGGGGGGTAGATGGTTCTGCTCAGAACTGCTAAACAGCGCTAAGCATTTAAATTGTCTCGATTTTTTTTTTAAATATTATTGGTCTGTCTCCCTATTAAACTTTATGGAAATTTGGAATAATTTTTTTCCGGTACATGTTTTCCCTTTTATACATCATTCTCAGAACACCATTTTGTTTTATATTATTAGATGATAAGTAAAATTATATGTTGCTTTAATAATTAGTTCGCACCAAGATTCGTTGTTGAATTCAAATTATTTTTCATCTTCTAACCAAATAATGGTATAACTTTTATATTTAAAAAAAAAACAGTCCCTCTGGCTGTACCTTCTGGGGTAAAAAACCTTGGAGCCGGAAGAAAAAGATTCTGTGGCAACTGGGAACATTGGTGGGAGCTCCCATGGGTATAGCCCTCATTGCGAGCATAGCCATCCCGGCTATCATTATAGGGGTTCCCATATTCGTTGGGCGAAAGGTATAATAATTGACTTTTTATATTGTTTTACCCGTAAGTTGTATAAAATATTGTGGAAGATCATTTTTTGGGAGGATAAGATATAAGATGAATGTTTTAAAGGGGAGTTAATTATTCTATGTTTTTATAATATATATCAGAGACCTGCAGAGCGACCTTGATTTTTTTCAAATAATTTTTACGGCCTGGCCCTTTTATATTTTAAGGCATTATATTTATTTTTGATTTTTATAGCTAATGACGATTTCATATATTTGGTTTTACAATATACGGCTTGGCCCGACCCGGATTTTTTTTAAAAAAATTTTCACGCCCGGCCCTAATTTAGTACTCACAAATTTATAAAATATATATACCAAAAAAATTCAGATCTATACCAAGTACAAAAAAGTAAAGGCGCTAAATCGAAATTCCTTGATCGTCGTGGCCGTATTGACATCTGTGATACTTTCTCCTATAATGGCCTGCCTGGCAGTCAGTAAGTTCGATTTTTTTTATTTCAAATGAAAAATACCTATCTATTTCTCATTCCTATTCTCCACAATGAATATCATTTATCCACGTGAAACTCAATTTTTAAGTTTTTAATATCACCCATGATTTTCCCATAAACTTGGAATATCTCTAGGGTTGAATATGGTGAATTTTTAATAACGTTTAAATATGTAATACTTTATTAGATCTAAAATACAATTAAAAAATATTTTTTATAAATTTATATCACAATTGACAAATAAATATAAGCAAGAGTCAACAATGACTATTTATTTAAATATATACTGGGCTTTAAAATCACGTGGCCTGTCAGGTTATTTATCAAAATTTTTTTTTACTTTTTAGCTATTTCATGAGCAATGTTATAAATAATTTAATATACCTTATAAGAATATTTTTATTGTTAAACAGATGGTTACAATAAGCAAAAGATAGGTGAAATTTAATTACAAAAAATGTTTAACATAGGTTAGTTATATAAAATATTGAGTTCATCAGATACTGCTTATTTATAGAATGACATTTATGTAAAAATTAAGATTTCATCCTAAAACTACATTCCAAATTTTTTACTACAGATTTAGTATATATATACACACACACACAAATTTTTATATGCCATAATAACCATTTTATTTTTATTTCTTTACTTTACTCATGTAAAATAAGTAAAATACAGGTAAAATTAAGGTAAAAATTATAAGTCAGAAAATTGTCTTGATCGGCAAATATCAGATTTTCGGCGCCAAAAAAGTTTGGCACAACTCTACACATTACTAGAAAGAAAGTCTAACATATAATTACTACTATTTTTCTTTGAAAATTAACAAGGCATAGGTGCTCCTATCCTTTTGGCCTACGTTTATGGGGTCGTTCCTTTCTCTCTTTGCCGTAACGGTTTATGCGGTGCTAACACTCCGTCAACCCCGTCAAATACTTCTCCCACCAACGGGGAAACATCTACCAATCGAATCAAAGCAAACAAAAAGAAAAAAGACAAGAAATGTTTATTTTTAAATTTAAAGAACAAATTTTCTTTTAATTTGAATAAACCTACTAATATTTTGCTCACATTAGTTAATCTATCAAATTAGCGACGAATAAACGGTAAGTGGGTAACTATTGGAGTTATATAAAATATATATTTACGGTTACAAAATATATTGGCCTCGCTAGGGATTCAACAAGAGAAAAAATTAGAATAATCGCTTAATAGCTATTCATTACCCAATAAACTTGGCGAGGTTTTAAATATACTCCACTATATTTATATCGTTTTCCTAATATTATTATTATTACCTATATTATTCTTTTCAGAGTCAATTTTTAGTTTTAAAAAATGATTATTTTTTTTAAAAAAACTTATCGAATTTTATAACAAAAAAATATTATAAAGCTAAGCATTCAAAACACGAAAATACAAGCTCATCAACCAATGATAACTGCGTTGTTCTTATGGATAGTAGCTCAAACGATAATAAGGAAGAAATGAATACCGCCCATCGAACAATAGGAGATGGGGGTGAAGATGACACTTTTAGAGACAATGATATGTATTATACTTTATCTTATAATCTCACATACCATTTTAAATCGTTTAAATTTATTTATAAAAGATTTAATAGAGTAATATATCATTAATTATTTCGAAATTAATTTTATTAAGTACATTTTTTCTTTTTCCCCAAAGACCAACTGTGATAATCATAAAATCCACCCCGATTTCATCTTCTCAACCTCCACTCGCCATCTCTTCTGCTAATATCGCATCCGCTACCTTAATTCCTTCGGAAGAAACGAACCTTTTAAACCGCGAGGAACATTCGACCGTTGCCGATAGAACGAACGACCGTCATAATAATTACGAAGATTACAAAGTGTACGACTCAAACAACGGTGCAAAGTTAAGTCTGAACGAACGGGTCACTGCTTGGATGGATAGACTCATGAATACGTATTCCTCTTATAACAACAATAATACCAACAATAACGGATTAACCAATAGTGGCAATAATAACACATTTTCTATGATAGCCTCTTCTTTCAGCAAACCTAATCGCTTTAACTTTATCACTCGTAGAGACGATTTCTCTTCGACATTCAGAAATGGGCCGGTATCATCTTCCAAGAAAAAGTTTTTAAAAAATTTTTTTTTGAGGATTGGGGGAATTTTAAGAGAAATCAATAAGACTTGGAAAAGAATATTATTACCATAATACTTACAAAAATGTGTTTTTCCCCTAAAGGCTAATCATGTTTCCCGCATCCCAAACCGCCCAACCTCCAAACTCGACCTACATGCTAATCAATCAATCGCGAAATCGGGATTCGTCTAAATCCAACAGTATTCTACGAAAGATTCCTAAATATTTAAGTTATTATATTTTGATTTAAAACTAATACAAATTTACAAAGCTATAAAAAATATTTATTATAACGTTTCGAATAATATATATTTTATTATTATATAGCTCCATTTACCATGGCGAATGATCAAAACGAAGATAAATCCAAATCTTTTAACAATATCTGCCATTCATCTAATCTAGGTCTATAATTTTGCCATTTAAATTTTTTTAAAACTATTAAAGAGAAACTCTTCGTGGGTCAATTTTTTTTCACCTCAAAATAAACAGATTAGCCTGCCTGGTCTACCCTAAAATAAATATAAAATTCGTGCTTTAAACGAGAACAATGATAAAATAGATACACATATTTAAATTTATAATCGCTCTACACTACAATGAGCGCAGATAAAACTTGGCTTAAATTTGTAAACCTTTAGAAAATTATCATATAAGCAGCATTATTTACCTTTTTGTGTGTTATATCGGAGAAGTTTGAAATTATCTATTACAAAATTGTTTTTTCGATTTACTTTGCTGATAAATGGCTGAATTATATATTACGATTTAAAAAAAATATTACTGAAATAGAAATATAACTACTAACTTTAAACATATAGACCCCGGCTTCGAACCCAAGGAGCCCAGCATTATTAGCATCGGAAATTGCTCAGAAAATATTCTTTCCTACGACACCTCAAGTCTGACTACCACTCATTTCGGCAGCACGCATCACCAAGAACCTGCCAACAATTCCATACTTCCCGCTTTCAACAAATTCGATGGAATCTCTTCAAATAAATCCGACACAAAATCGTTGGAGGATTCGGAAACTCGACAAAATTATACTTTCATCCCAATCACGAATGACTTAAATAACGGTGACCCTGGGAATGAAGGAGGAATCGCGGCGTTTCAAGGTGACCAAATCGATCTTGATATGGCCGATTTACTTAGTAGAGAGCCGATGACGCTCGACGCAAAAATCACTCGCCGATGCCCTTCTTTTAAGATTGAACTCATTAAAGCTGACGTGATTAATCTACCTTTGCATCATACCAAATCGCCTATAAATGAGCCGACACACGATGATTGTAGCGTCAAAAACAACGGTATTTTTTTCTTCCTGTTTTGTGCCCCCTCCCTCTCCATGGCGTAAACGGAGAAGGTGTTCAGAAATAGTATTAGGCCCGTGGCACGAATGTTGAATTTTTGACCAACATGAGTTTATATCAATATCTCTCGATTACGGGGCCAAATAATTTAACAATATTATTTTTAAAAAGATTTCTCCCTTTGAAAAATATTTAGAAATACCTTAAAAATATAGGTAACAATTATATTTTAAATTAGATTTTTTCTTAAAGGATCGTTAAACAATTTTACTAAAGGACGGCCAGGCCAAACCGGTCCGTTAACATTTTTGTATGTGGTTTTTTAGCCTGGCCTGTTTCATAAAAATATTTTTCACGAGTTCTGATTTTAAATTCTATTTAAAAATTAAAATATTTATTACACAAATATATAAAAAATACATATAAAGAAGGAAGAAAGAATCTAGCAACTTAATTAAATTTTATATAACTAAAACTATTAAATCCTTTAATTTTAGTTTCACTTTATAACAACGACACGGAGGATGAGTGTAACAGCTTAAGAAGCGGAAAATCTTCTTCGCTCTTGACTGCGTTAACTGACGATGGGTCTTCTTCAACCAGAGCTATGGCTGGATCCATTGCCTTTAATAGGTTTAATATACATATATACATACACACGCTATATTTTGTTTCTTCGGTTTTATCTATTGGAACTTATAATATTAAATAGTCATGAAAGTTTTTTTAAAAAAAATTCATGTTCCTTTATTTCATTTTATGTTTTTTATATAAATATAATAGTCAGGAAATTGTTCTTAAGCTAAGCCTATTTAGCTTATCTATGGAAAGCTTTTTGAGTGTGATAGATGAAAACCAATGCTATGTCGAAAAATAGCTTGCTTGCTTACTGATCTTAACTTTTGATAATCTGGTCTATTATGTGAATATCCAATAAAAAAAAATTGGTTACTTTGCTGAGATTGTTATTGTTACATCTCAAAATGTTATTTTGATTTAATAATAGTTCTTTTTTTTAAATTATTTTATAGATATAATATTTTCTATAAAAAAAACAAATCATTGAATTAAACAACTACAAGGGAAATGGATGAGGCGAGTATGAAAGCTTTAGCTGGCTCTGTCATTAATGCCCCGATTAAGTAAAAAAAATAATTATCTTTTTTTTAAAATTTATTTTATGGAGTAAAATATTAAAATTTTGTTACTCACCAAATTATGTCACAGTTCTTATAAATTAAGAGTTGTTTTCTTTTTCGCAACCTTTTTTTTAAACATACGCGTGCGCATTATAAATTAGGCACGGTTTTTTGTTGAGAGATTTTGTATTTAATAGAATCGTTTCCCAAATTCGAAAAAAATCTACAAAATAATGACACTAAAAAAATAAAAGTTCTGAAATTCTGTCAATTTTTTTTCAATATATTAAGTTATAGGGATTTAACCTTTCTCCAATATGGACGATGCCATTTAAAATGCATTATTTGTAAAATAATAACCGCTACGTAAAATTTAGACCAACTTAGAAGCACTATAAATTTGAATATTCTTTTGTTTGATAGAAATGCAAACATGATAATTAATTACAATATCCCCATTAAAATTTATTTATTTTTTCTTTATATATTTTTCTTAGCGAAAACTCAGATAGTGGTTCTATTCATTCACGGCACCGAATACCGGCTATAATCAAAATTCACAAGAATCACCCCGCATCCATTCTCTATAATGATAAATTAAATTTGAATGCCGGTAGAAAAAAAATAAAAATTTATTTACTAATGCTTGTTTTATCTCGTTAATTACAATGTTTCTAAATTCGATTTAATCACAACCTTTAGCGACGATTTTGTTGTATTTTTTTTTAAAATTAAATACATCTAGATGGTCTAGTAATATACATATTTGATTTGTTAGTTGTCTATCCATTCAAATATACTCATAGACGTAGCCAGGATGGGGGGAGGGGATTCTATCCCTTCGGAAATTTATATGCTCTCTTATTTCATTTTAAACTAATAAAAATTTCCCCCTACACACCCCCCTCTCACCCATAAATTTACATAATATACTAGAAAAATTAGAAAGAAAAATTAGTAAGAGTTAATAACTTTTTAAGATAACGACTATTATTCAAAATTTTTAGAAAAAAAGCATTTTTATAATAGAAAAATCGAAAAATTCAAAATACTTTTATAAAAAATATCTTAGCCAAAGGCCTGTGCAATAAGTGGACCTAAAGATCTCCAATAAAATTTAATGAAAGAAAAAACTCACCTAATCGTGCCCCTCCCCTCACCATTAGCAAATTCTGGCGAATGCTTATAAATCTACGTATTAATAGGGATGTGCTTAGAAAATAAAAATGCTAAGTTTATTATATAACTAAAGTTCTTATAGGACTTTATTTATATTAACGTACAAATAAACACTTGATTTAACGATAAAATATATTTATAAGAATCAGATCTCACTATAGAAGACAAGAATAAAACTCTGACCCCTCAAACGAATTCGCCCATTCCTAACACCAATGGCTTATTCTGCATAAGCAATCCTACCATTTCGAATCCTAAAACCAATAATAAATACCGAAATTTTTTGTCGGGCAATAAGAAGTACAATAAATCCAATAATCAACCCACGTATAAAACTGCTCGTTAGAAAAAAAAATCAATCTTGTAGACTTTTTTAATCATCAGTATTGAAAGAATATTTTTTTTGTGAATCAAGTATATATTATTTAATATAATTTTTATTTATATAAAAAAAGAAGAAAAACTTCATAGGATAAATAAATTATAATATCCTTTGAAATATTTGGAAAATAATACTAATGTTTTATATATAAAAAAAAAATTTTTTTAAAAAAAAAAAATTATTATCTATTTAATTTATATGGTATAAAAAATATCAATAAAGTTCGATATATGATATTCAATGGTTTTTTTAAAAATAATAAAAAGAAACTATTATATGTCTCTCTATTAACATATTATAACATTTATATTACTTTATAAACTAAGTTACCAGGATTATTGTTGTTAAAATGGCTCGATTTGAGCCGCGAGCCGTTTTTTAAAAATGATTAACTCAATATTTTATCCAGAAAAATGTTACTCAAGCCTAACGATTTTGCTTATAGATTGAACAAAGGTATGAACATCTATTAGCGAAATATCAAGACTTAGGCAATATTTTTCTAGTTTAAATATTGTGATAGCCATTTTCAAAAATTGGCTCAAATCGAGCCGCGTATCAACACTAAATAAGATTTACAGTTTGGGTACCTTACAAATGCTGAAATGCATTTCATTGGGGAAATCAGATTTTTAAGTATTTCGAATAAACTTACAACATGTTTTATTTAATTTTAATATTGTTTATTCTTTAAGTCCAGGAATGCCAATTTTTTTAAATGTTGAATATGTCTATATTTTGTCTTATATTAGGCATAAATACAAACTCTTTAAGCCTAATAAGTTGTGTTGTTAAATAGCTCGATTTTTAAAAATCGTTAACCCAATATTTTAGCCAAACAATGCTCAAACGTAGAGATTTTACTTATTAATAGTAGAAAGGTTTGGGGACATATTTTAACGAAATCTTGAGCTTGCAAAATTTTATTAGCGAAAATCAATTTAACGCGAAATCTTGTTGTTTAACAACATTTTAATAAATATAGTACTAGTGTATAATATATTAATTTTTGATTATGAATGACTTGAATATTCAGTATGTTGTATCATGATTGTAAGATTTTATGATTGGAACCTTATGAGAAGTTTTCCATGCCTTAAACTTCCTAATAACTCTTGAGCCTAATAAGTAGAGTACTAGTGTATAATATAATCTCAATTTTTGATTATGAATGACTTTAGGAATATTCTGTAGATATTATTATATCATGTTTGTAAGATTATTGAAACTTTATAAGAACTTTCCCATAGCTCGTTAATGCTGATCCTATAACAATTTGTTAATTATTAAATGGCTTATTGAGATACATGAAAAATTTAATATACTACTTTATTATATCTTTATTTGATATTAGAGGTTAATTAAGATTTATATCATTAAAGGAACTATCTTGGCAAAAATGTAACTTATAAAATCATGACCATCATTTTTGCAAAATATTTCGCAACAACTGCGAATTTAATTTTTAGATTTAACAATGTTGAATGCTTGCTTAACAGGTGATCAATTAATTTATTTAGTTTGGTTTTGAGCCAATAATTAGAAACATACCAAATCAAATTAAACATTTAGAAAATGTATCATCTAAAATATAAAATTGTTAAAAAAAACACGTATAATAGAAAGATCATATTTTCAAACCCAAATCAAATTGACAGGAAATCTTTTTTTTTTACTTTTATATTTTTTAGTATTTCTCTTGTACCAAAGGGCTGTCTGGTAGCTTTAAATCGGGAATATTTTAATTAAATTTGCCATTTTATAACTTTATTTTTAATGGATATGAAAGTTTTAAAGGATAGAGCTTGGCAACCTCGATAACTATCCAAACTGTTAAAATATTTAAATTTTTAGTTTTGAAGATAAAATTAAAGCTGCCATATTTCAAAAATTTCTAAAAAAATTATTATAATTAGCGTTTTAAATTTGCCAGATTTTTAATCAAAGATTTAGCATTGATGAGGTTTGCATCAACCTATTTATTATTAAATGTGCTGTAGTAAATTTATAGTAGTCGGGAGTAAGCTCTCTTCGCCATATAACCATCTATAGGCCTGCCCACATTGTTTCGATTCTTTTTTGGAGCCTTAGGAGCTTACTTTGAGAGGAATTATTTGGATAGAGTATCCATTCTTTTATTTGATTCATCAAAGTCGCCTGCTGTCTTGTGTACTATATATTTTTAAACTAACCCGTTAGCTACCTTTCTCTATTTTTAAGATTTCCTAATTTTACTTAGAAATTAATAACTATAATAACGTTGATTTGACAACAAAGTTATTAGAGAATCTCTTCTTTTACCGAAAAGTTTTCAGTTTCACTTTTCTACGTTTGCTCCGAAAATAGGTTTCTCTTAAAGGTCTCTCAGTATTTATCATTTTTTGATATAATTCATATCATCTAAGGCTCATTTTCATAATATTATCCCGAATATTTGCTTTATTACATGGATATCATTTCGAATCTGATTTATTATTTTAAAGCTAATTGAATTTGAATTATAAAATAATGTTAAAAAAAATGTAAATTTATAAAAACTTGACTTTCATTTAAACTCAAACGCTTCTATTATGAAAGAATGAAAAAGCTCCATAAAATAGTCATATCCATGTGATAATATGCTAAAAATGAATATATTATAAAAAATATATTTTAATAAATGAAATATATGTTAAGAAAAGTCATAATTCATATGATAAAAAAAAATTAATATATATTTCATATTTTCTTACAAGTCAGCCTAATTTAACGACAATTTCTAGGTGCCTCATGGGCAAAATGTTAACTTGGTCTTATGTCCAGTCCGCTCTGACCTCTAAAAATGCAAAAATTGACATTGATAAAATAAAAATTTTCAAGCTATATTTAAAGGCAATATAAAATTTTAAATAGTTACTTTTAAAGGTGGAAATGTAAAATAAGGTTTTCCTTAAAATTATTTTGGAACAGCATGTACATAATCATGATATAAAGTATGACTTACACCTTAGTCAAGTGTTTAAGAATAAACTGCAGGGTGCCAACGTACTCCTATCTCTCCTGTAAAACTTAAAATAAATGAGAGAATAATTCCAAAAAATATATGTGGAACTATATTCAATTATTAAAGTTTTAATTTTTATATATAATAAATTTCCAAGTTACCATCATAAAGGTATATAACATATAATTGTAGAGTATGAAATCATATTTATAAACTTTCATACAATTGTGTATAATATACATAAAAGGATGTAATATTTTCTTATTATTCTCGTGTTCTAAATCACAAATTTTGAAAATAGAAACTGCCATATCGTAAAATATTTTTGTTTTCAAGAATAGTTTCGTTTGAAGTCTTAAAAATGAGAGAGGGAAGACCATGAATGGCATGAGAAATTATATATGTAGGTTGATCCCGGAATTTAGCGCCATATTTGCATATGAGATATCGTCGTCACGGAGAGTAGTATTCTATTATAAAGTGGAAAAATTATTCATAATAAATGGATTAGTAATTCTAATTTTTAACTGTTTGAGAAAGATAAATGGTTTTAGGTATAAATATTATTACGTTTCGCTTTGGAAGCCTATTATAATTAAAAAAAATGAATAATATAATATTATATAGAAAATTATTTTAACTAGTATTATATTTTGTTATAATTCAGTGTTTCGAAATGGTGTCATATGCGACTGGATTTATATTTAAATTGACACAAAATTTATCCATTTTATAATATATTAAATTTATCCATAATTATGTTAATTATTAAACAAAAAATTTTTTTAATTAAAAATATTTAGTTTGAGTTAACTATTGAATTCTGGGTAATTTTATATACTCCTGAAAAAATTTATTAATAAAGATAATTTTTGTTATGTTGATACATTTACCATTTAAAAAATTATAGGATATAACATTTATAATCGTTTCTCATTACATATACAAACAATTATATATTCTTCTTATTAAAAATATTGTCATTATATTAAAAGGATTATTTTTTATTTTTATAAGAATCTATACTTAAAAGAAACAGATGAACAATCGAGATTATGGCGGAAGAAAACTTTTAAAAATATCTACTAGATTTTTCATTAAAATTATATAATCTCAATTGCAAAAATAAATAAAATATTTATTTCAAATAAAAAAATGATTGACTTAATTTGATAATATACTTTAAAAATAAAATAGAAAAAAAAAAATTTTAATTTTGAGCATCTAATGTTTATTTATATTTTAGAGAATTGAGAGTGTAACTATTCTCAGAACCAGCTTTTTACAATCGAAAGCCTTTAAAAATACGATTTAAGAAGAGATTAAGTTATGATAAGGTTGGGATTTTGGTTTTTTTATGAATATTAAAGTAATTTTTATTTTTTGCAAAAAAAAATAACTTCTACAAATTGATACTTTAAGAAAAATTAACCTATAGGCTATATTTTTTTGAATGTAACTATAAAATTCTCAAATTATCCTTTAAATATGTATGATAAATAATACGTTATCTATATATGAATCCCAAATATAACATTATATTGTTTATTAAGCCTAAAATTATTCGATTTGAAATTTACGATTACAAATAACAAATGATTCAATTTTAAAAATTAGAATTGAATATGAATAATAAAAATATTTTTTGAAAGAATATAAAATTTAAATTATTCGTAAAATAGATAGGTGATCGAAAATAAAATCTCTTAGGAAAAAAGCAGCTTATTTTATTAAATGTGTTTTAATATGCATAACAATTGGTAAACTTTTTGTTCAAACTTGAATAAATTCAATTCTATTAAACCAATCAGGCTTTTCGAAATTATCAATATATAAAATAGACATTTTCTTGGAACATTTAATTTTGAATTTTATTAAGATGAACCGGGTAAGTGGGTCCACAACATGTTGATAGGTAGGACCATAAAATAGTCTGAATATAAAACTTTAAAAAAGCTATATTTTATCAATGTTTTTTAACTTTAAAAGTTCTGAGATTATAAAATAAGGTTAAAAATCTCAATTTTTTTTATTGAGAGATTCAAAAGTTATAATTTAATTCTAAAAATTTGCAATTATTATTACTTTTAATATAATTAAAACTATTTCCTCTGTAAAATTAGAAGCTGAAGATTTCATAAAATTTTTATGAACTATATTAGGTTTAAATTACCACTGTTATAATGGCTCAGATATTTATTGGAGTAAAATCGCGTGCCTCGGTCTATATAAGAAGGCAATTAGTAATTTAAAAATATAATTCAACTAATAAAATAAAATTCTTTATTATAATCTAATGTATTTATTAGTAATGACAAAGATATGAAACATATAATAGTATAAAATTATATCCTTAAACTTTCAAGCAACTGCGAATAATATATATAAAAGGATGTGAATATTTTCTGATTTTCCTCGTGTTCTAAGTCACAAATTTTGAAAATAGGAGCAGCCATATCGTAAAATTTTTTGGCTTTAAGAAATAGTTCCATTTTCGGAGCTTTAAAAATGAGAGGGGGGCTGTCAGGAGTATTAGAAACTATATACGTAGGTTGATCCCAAAATTTAGCGCCATATTTAGCATATGCTATATAGTCGTCATCTTCAAGAGTAGTATTCTAGTATAATATTAAAAAATTATTAAGAATGCAATTTATAATTCTAATTTTTACTTGTTTCGAATACAGATGAGTGGTTTCATAAACAAAAGTTTTATTATATTTCGTTTTGGGAACCTTTATAATTTAAAAATTGGATAATATAATATTATAAGAAAAAAAGTTTAATTATTATATATACCTTGTTATCCAGTGTCTTGAAATTTTTGATTTCACTTGTGCAAGGATTTATATTTAAATTGTCACAAAATTTATCCATTTATAATATATTTAATATTTATTGATAATTTCGTTAAATATTTAAAGTTTTATAAATATATTGAATGTGAATACTATAAATTCTAAATAGTTTATATTTATATATTTTTAAAAAATATTTATTATTAAAGATAATATTTATATTAAATTAAATTAAATTAAGTTCTTTTATTATGTTGATAAATCAATTACCATTAAAAAATTAAGGGCATAACTTATTTATAATTGTTTCTCATTATATAAAGTGTGATAAGGAGGGGACATTTAAATTTTCTTATACATTGTTTTGATGTTTAGCAATATACAAGTTACGTAATATATTTTTCTTATTGAAATATTTTCATTAAATATAACATATATTTTTTTACTTATTACATAAAATATTTTCTAAATAAGATGAATAATAATATCAATTGCATAAATAAAAGAGCAAAACTTTTCAAATAAAAAAAAATGATTGACTTAATTCGATAAATATTGTTGTATTAAATAAAAAAATCGAAAAGGAAAATAATTTTTATTTTTGAAATGAGCATTGAGTTTATGTAAATTTTAGAGAATTGAGAGTATAATTATTCTCTGGGTGCTGGCAATTTGAAGGCTTAACAAGAAAACCGTTGAAAATAAAGTATTTAAGAATGGATCGGCGTTTTTTTAAGAACCAAACCAAGTGTTATTAATTTTTCTTAAACCAAATAATTAAAACACGTTACATTTTTGCAAAAACACAATATTACTTTTTTAAAATATGTAACTGTAATTATTTATTGGAATGTAACCAAAAGAAAGTAGTTACTTTTTAATAGATTTTTTAAAATTAATATTATTGTTGTTTAGGTTCGAATCGGGAATTATTCGATTCAAAATTTACGAATAACAAACTTTTCCTATCGATTACGAATAATAAAAATTTAATCAAATTTTGTTCTCTCAACAGTATCATGCATAGGCTCAACCTTTCAAATTTATGGCTCATGTATTACCAATTTTCAAAATTTATTTTATAAAAAATGGGTTCTATATTTTTCTTAAAATTTAAGAGCAACAAATAGCACTTGTCTTATTTAAAATGTTTAACTTTTGATATTAACGTTTACCTTTTTAAGATACCAGTCTTCATGAAAAGATAAAAATTAAAAATTTTCATATAATATAAATAAATTAGTAAATATAATTAACTTATTCGTGGGTGTTAGTTAACTGTAGATGAAGCTCGGTCTATCAGACTTAAAATATGGGTATTTTGGGAGGTTTTCAAACTTTAATATTACAAGTCCTGTAAAAATTAAGCAATTTATACTTATCAAAAGATTCCCTTTTTTCAATTTAAATCATATCTAATGGTAACAGGAAAAATTATAACGGTGTATTTTGTATTTTTATCGAAAACTTAAATTATTAAAAAAGTAAAAAATTAAATAAGGAATTAAAAGTGTTAGTAAACAAAATCTTGCGGGAAAGAGCAACTGATTTCCATAATTATGTTGAAAACACAAATGAAGCACTTACTTTATATTGAAACATTTCAATAAATTTTATTCTATTTAAATTAATCTGATTTCTCAGTTAAGACCATTTTAAAATTGTTAATTTTTAAGAAGATTTATTTTAAATTTTATTTGGACAAATTTTCCTGAACTATAGTCAAATTGATATTCAAATTCAAAGTATAAAAATTATTATATCCATGATTATATCCAAAAGTTCTAGATTAAAATAGTGTTAAAAATTTTCTAGATAATTTTTATTAAGGTTTTTTAAAACTTATTTTTGAACGGAAAAGTTGGAATTGATTGTTACTTATCGGTATATGTTAAAATACGATTTATTCTAAAAAAATAAGAATGCTAAAATAATTAGATATAGTCTTAAGTAACCACTTATACAATAATAATAGCAATATTTTAAATGGAGTAGAAAAATGTGCCCAAGTTTTCCCCTATATGATTGATCAATCCCACAAAAACTCAAAAGAAAATTTAATTAATAAAAATGAAATTCTTTATTTTTATTCAATATATTTAGCTATGATCATAAAAGAATGAAATAATATAAAATTATATCTTTAAACTTTCGAATAATTGCGTATAATATATGTAATAGGATGTAAATATTTCTTGATTTTCTTCATGTTCTAAGTCACAAATTTTAAAAATAGGTGCTACCATATGGTAAAATTTTTTGGCTTTAAGAAAAAGTTCCATTTTGGGAGCTTCAAAAATAAGAGGAGGATTGCCGTGAGTGCCATGGGAAGCGCCATATTTAGCATATGCGATATCGTCATCATCGTCTAGCATTCTAGTATATGATAAAGAAAATTATTAAGCATTAATGTATTAATAATTCAGATTTGTACCTTTTTTGGAGAGAGATTGGTGGCTTAGGAAAAAAAGTTTTATTACATTTCAATTTAGGAGCCTATTAATACAAAAATAATATTCTATAATATAGCAAAATATTTAAATGAGGATACCTTGTTTTTATCTAATGAATCAGAATTTTGGATATCACTTGTACTAGGACTCATATTTAAATTAGCACTGAATTTTTCCATTTTATATTATATTTAATTTATTTTCATAATTTCGCTTATTATTAAAAAAAATTCCTAATGAAAAATATTTAGTGTGAATTAACTAAGAATTCTGGGTATATATTCTTGAAAAATTTATTATTAAAAATAATATTTTTATTAAATTAAGTCAAGTTCTTTTGTTATGTTGATAAATCAATTATACCATTGGACAAAACTTATATATGATTCTTTCTCATTATAAAAAGTGTGATATGGAGAGATATTTGAAATCAATTGTTTTGATGTTCGAAAATACAAACAATTATATATAATAATCTTCTTATTAGAAATATCATTAAACGAAAGCGGTTATATTTTAACTTTAATTACATAATAAAATTTACTTTTATAAAGAATATAAACAATTAAGATTTTGTCTAAAGAAAGCTTTTGAAAATATTTAATGCGTTTTTCATTAAAAAAGTATATAAATTGCAAAAAAAACAATGAGCAAAATATTTAAAAAATGAAAAAATGAATGACAATTTTGATAAATAATGTTGTATTAAAAAAAATATATTGAAATGGGTGTTGAACTTTTAAAGTAAATTTCCAAAATGGGATTATAACCATTCTCAGGGTGTAATAGTATTTAAAAGCGTTAAAAGCAAAAACCCTTAAAAGTAAAGTTTATTTATGAATAGATCTGGGTTATGATAAGCTTGGGGTTTTTTAAGCATTGATTTTAGTTTGCTAAAACATGACATTGGTTTTAATAAAACATGACATTGGTTTTAATAAAATGTAACTGCATCAAGTTACATATATTCAGAGGTGTAAGAAAATTTTTGGGGGTTAGGAGAAGAATTTATTTAATATTGAGTATAGATCAGAGTCATGATAAACTTAGGATCTTTTAAGCACCAAACCATGGCTTATAGATTTTCTCCAGGTGATCTAAAATGAGAAGAAAATACGGAATAAGAACGCGAAAAGTTATATACCTGAGCCAATAATTTATAAACTATAAGATATATAACTTAATAGTTATATGCAGCTGACATAATATTCCTTCCTTTTAAACTTAAACGTTCACTTATATTAAAGATCCACAAAATCTGGGATGGAATTCTAAAGCCTGGCACGCGGTTGGGGCTAATTTATAAGAAATTATAAGGGGCAAGTATGTACCTAAATGCTTGGGCCGGAAAATCAATATTTAAAATATCAAACCACGAGACTAAATTTCTGATTTTTCGTTAAACTTTAATGGGCCAACATGATAATTAAACTTTTTAAACAAATGAATAAAATATATTTAAAAAAGTGCCGTATATTTTAGTAATGGAATACTATGGTATTTTTGTAAAATAAATTTCATAATTTTGGCAAAATATTTTGTGATCATTTTTCATTATATTATTGATTACGTGAAAAATTATTTATATAAATTTAAAAAAAATAAGCTACAATAGAGAAGGCTAACCGTGATAGCGCCTTTTAACTATATAAATATAATTCACAATAATAAAATACCAATGTTTTATAACATTGAAATAATTATTCTTAGTTTGAAAAAAAATCTTCAAAAAATATTTGAATAAGAAAGATTTTAGATCAAATTTTACCTAAAATGAGCAAAATCCTTTCTAATTTTTATGTATAAAAATTCTTTCAAGATAAAATTAAAAGAAATTTTTAAAAAATTTTTGATATTCTACTAAAATTCGGTTTCCTCTGCTTAAGTCTTTAAAAAAATATCTTCAATCTAATATATATATGAAAAATTTTAGGTTTAAATTATAACTGTTATAAAATAATAGCTTAGATTTTAATTGGAATGAAATGACGTGTCTTAATCTCCCACTATATAAAAAATAAGTCAGACAATAATTCAATCTTTATTTTTATTTAATATAACAAACTATGATAAAATATTATATAGTATAAAATCATATTTTTAAGGCTTCTAATAACTGTGTATAATATATATAAAAGGATGTGAATATTTGTTGATTTTCCTCGTGTTCTAAGTCACAAATTTTAAAAATGGGAGCTGCCATATCGTAATATTTTTTAGCTTTCAGAAATAGTTCCATCTTTGGGGCTTCAAAAATGAGAGGGGGATTACCAGGATTGGAATGATAAACTATATAGGTCGGTTGATCCCAAAATTTAGCGCCATATTTAGCATATGCGATATCGTCATCATCGTCTATAGTAGCATTCTAGTTTTTGATAAAAAAAATTATTAAACATTAATGGATTAATAATACATTTTACCTTTTTTGGAGAGAGATTGGTGGCTTCCGGAATAAATGTTTTATTACATTTCAATTTGGGAATCTATCATTATGAAAAAAAAATAAATATATAGGATAATATAAGAAATCAATTAAATGAGTATACCTTGTTTTTGTCTAAACAATCAGAATTTTGGATATCACTTGTACTAGGACTCTTATTTAAATTAGCATCGAATTTATCCATTATATAATATATTTAATATTTTTTCACAAATCGTTTATTATTTAAAAAAAAATTTCTAATGAAAAATATTTTATGTGAATTATAAAAGAATCTAGGTATATTATATATTCCTGAAAAATTTATTATTAAAAATAATATTTTTATTCAATTAAGTCAAGTTCTTTTGTTATGTTGATAAATCATTTAACATTTATTAAATTAAAGGACAAAACATATTTATGATTGTTTCTCATTATAAAAAGTGTGATATGAAGATGTTTAAATTTTTTAAAATCAATTGTTTTGATATTCGACAATAAAAACAATTATATATTAAAATATTATATTAGAAAAATTATCATTATATAATAAATTGGCTATTTTTTTCTTTTATTACATAATAAAATCTACTTTTAGATTAACATTCAAGATTTTGTCCTAAGAAAACTTCTTAAAATATTTACTAAGTTTTTCATTAAAAAAAAATTTAAATTGCAAATATAAAGGGCAAAGTATTTCAAAAATAAGATTGACTTAATTTTGATAAATGTTATATTTCAAATAAAATTCGAAAAATCATTAAAATTTTTGAAATATAACATTTAAAGTAAATTTCGGAGAAATGAGAGTATAACCATTATTAAGTTATAATAGTAACTTAAAGCCTTAAAAGCGAAAACCTTTATTAGCAAAGTTTATTTAAAAATGACTCGAGGTTAAGATAAGTTTGAGCTTTTTTAAGTACCAAACTATGATTTAGGTTTTTTATTTTAAATGTAACTGTAACAAATACATTTATTCATGTGTGTAGCCATGCGTTTCTCAGGATATCTTATGATGTTATAGGCCAATGATAATTATAGAAGCTCTTTCTCCTATCAGGTTTTTGAACACCAGATGTTTTAAAAGTTGTTCCAAAATAATTTAATTCTTTAAAATCCGAGAAATTTAGTGGCCAAAAAGGTAGTTTCTCTTTTTAGAGATCGGTTTTCATAAAATGATGAAAATTAAGATTTTAAATAAATTAGTAGAGATAATAATAAATTATTTGTGGTCTAAAACAGGGATGGGACCTTTGTTTTATCGTAATGGGTTATTTTGAGATGTTTTTCTAGTGAACTTAAGCTTCCTGATCTTGCCAGGAAATAATATTCAAATAGTTTACTACATCGGAGAGTTTATTTTTTTCAGGTTAGCTCATCAGAAGACAATTATTATATATTTTAGTAATGGAACTATTTTTTATAGCGTTAAGCAACAGGAAATGTTACAAGGAAATTTAGTAATGAAAAAAGAAGCTAAATAAGAGATTTAAATGATCGATAAAAAATCTTTTAGAAAAAAGCAACTGATTTTATTAAAGGTGCTTAAAACTTAATAAATAATACGTGGCACATTGGTCCACATTTTGTTTAAACTTCAATTTTATTAAATAATTATGGATATATACATAATTCTTAACCTTTAAAGTGTAGACTAGATATTTTAGCGACAAAATATACAGCTTTAAAAAAAATTTAATTTTGTATTTTATTTGGATAAACATTCCTGAACTCCACAACATGTTTATAGTTAGCAGGTTAGGACCATTAAATAATGGACTAAATTTAAAACTTTCAAATTCATATTATATTCAAGTTTTATAACTTTTAAAAATTCCCAGATTGCCAAATAAGTTTAAAACTTTTCTAAAGATTTTTTTATTGAGAAAGCTATATTTAACTGAAAAATTGAAATTATTGTTGATTTTGGTATTCAAAAACCTAATTTCTTCTGTAAAAATTAAAATGTTGGAATTTTTTAGCCAATAATACTCTATATTAGGTTTAAATGACAACTGTTATAAAATATCTCAGATTTTAATTGGACTATTACTTAGCAGTCTCTCATATGATATCAATCTGACAATTATTTATTATCTTATATAGCAAGCTCTGACGAGGCTAAGTTAAACATACAATAGTATAGAATCATATCTAGAAGTTTTCGAACATTATTGTAAAATAATTTCTGACTTTAAGAATTAGTTCCATTTTCAGACTTTCATAAATGAGAGGGTAATTTCCAGGAATAACAAGAATAATTCTATGTATCCCAAAATTTAGCATATTTAGCATAAGTAGCGAGATTAAAAAAATAAAAGGTTTAATTCTGATTTTTACTTTTTTTTGGTGAGATATTAGTGGCTCCGGATTGTATAACAGTTGTAATTTAAACCTAATATAGCTAATTATTTTTCATATATATAATTGGCTGAAAAAGAGTTAAAAAACTTTAGTAAAACTGAGTTTTAATAACATATCAAAAGTTTAAAAAAAATAAAATTTTCCGTTTAAAATATAACTTAAAAAATGGCAAAGTTTTTTTTAAAAATTTGACTTAAAAAATAATATCTTAATGTTATAAATACTTTGATTATTTTTTAAAATCATAATTGATTTATCAATTTAAGAGAAGAACTTAGCTTAATTGAATAAAAAATATTATCTTTAATAATAAATTTTTCACGAATATATAAATTCAAAATTTTATAGTTAATTAACATTAAATATTCTTCATTAAAAAAAAATAAACAAAATAGGGAATAAATATTTAATATAACTTAAATTTAAATTAGAGTGAAATGTGCCTCACTCTCATTTTATAAGAGAAATCAATTCAAACAATATTTCAAAAAAAATTTAATTGAATCATTTATTTTTATCTAATATATAGATTATAATGATATAAAGGGTAATATTCAATATAGTATAAAATCATATTTTTAAGTCTTCTAATAACTGTGTATAATATATATAAAAGGATGTGAATATTTGTTGATTTTCCTCGTGTTCTAAGTCACAAATTTTGAAAATAGGAGCTGCAATATCGTAATATTTTCTGGCTTTAAGAAAAAGTTCCATTTTGGGAGCTTCAAAAATGATAGGAGGATTCTCGGAAGTGTCATGAGAAACTATATACGTAAGTTTATCCTAAAATTTAGCGCCATATTTAGCATATGCGATATCATCATCATAGCCTGTAGTATCATTCTAGTTTATGACAAAAGAAATTATTTAAATGGATTAATAATTCAGATTTCTACCTTTTTTGGTGAGAGATTGGTGACTTTCGGTATAAAGGTGTTATTACATTTCATTTTGGGAGCCTTCTATTATAAAATAAATATATTGGATAATATAGGAAATTATTTAAATGAATATACCTTCTTTACCTAGTGAAATAGAATTTTGTATATCACTCGTACTAGGACTCATATTTATATTAGCATCGTATTTATCCATATTATAATATTTATTTTTTTTTACAATTTCGTTTATTATTAAAATAAAAAATTTATAATGAAAAATATTTAATGTGAATTAACTAAGAATTCTGGGTATATATTCCTGAAAAATTTATTATTAAAAATAATATTTTTGTTCAATTAAGTCAAGTTCTTTTGTTATCTTAATAAATCAATTATACCATTTATAATTAAAGGAGAATACATATTTATTGTTTATCATTAAAAGTGTGATATGGAGAGATATTTGTATTCAATTGTTTTGATGTTCGACAATACAAAAAATTACATATTATAATCTTCTTATTAAAGAAAATTATCATTATATATTAAATCGACTATTTTTTACTTTTATTACATAATAAAATCTATTATCATTAATAAACCAACAAGATTTTATCCTAAGAAAACTTCTTAAAATATTTAAAAAATAAAAAAATGATTGACTTTGATAAATAATCTTGTATTTAAAATAAATCATTAAAATTTTTATAATGGTGGTTGAACTTCTAAAGTAAATTTTGGAGAAATGAGAGTGTAACCATTCTCGAGGTATAATCGTAATTTAAAGCGCTAGCTAAAAGCCAAAATATTCTTAAAGGTAAAGTTTATTTAAGAATGGATATGGGTTATGACAAGCTTGGGGGTTTTTAAGCACTTGAATCATTTTAAGTTGCAAAACATGACATTAGTTTTAATAAAATGTAACTGTAACAGGTGTCTTAGAAATTTTCTAGAGGATTGGATAAGATTTTTTTTAATGTTTAGGGATCAGGGTTATGATAAGGTTGTGCCTTTTTAAGCACCAAATCATGGGTTATAGCTTTTCCCATAAAGTGATCAAAATAAAAAACGGAATAAGAACATGAATAGTTTTAGATTTAGCGAACAGTTTATAAACTATATATAGCTTAATAGTTAAATTTATATCACATATTATTCCCAGCCTTTTAAACTAAAACCTTCACTTATATTAAAGATCTGAAAAGTCCTTTCTGGCGTCCAAAAGTCTGGACTCGGAAAAATTTATAGAAATAATAACGCGAAGATTTGAACTTAGCAATAAACTACTCGGGCCATAACAATCAATATTTAAAATAAACTACCATACTTCGCAAATTTGGGATTTTTCGTAAAACTTTAATGAGCCAACATGTCAAGAAGGCTTTTTAAACAAATGAATAAAATATAAAAAAAAAATAATGCCGTAAATTTTAGGAATGGAATACTATGGTATTTTTGTAAAATAGATATTATAATTTCATAATCCTTGCAAAAGATTTTGTGATCCCTTTTCATTATATTATTGATTACATGGAAAATAAATTATATAAATTTTAAATAAGCTAAAATAGAGAAAGCTTACCGTGATAGCGCTTTTTAACTTGGAATTAAAACTTTTTTCTAAAATTTATTCATTGAAAGAATTATTACGAGTTTGAAAATAATCTTCAAAAAACTTCTGATAAAAAAGATTTTAGATCAAATTTTACCTAAAATGAGCAAAATCCTTTCTAATTTTTATGTATAAAAATTCTTTCAAGATAAAATTAAAAGAAATTTTTAAAAAATTTTTATTTTAAAGGAAAAATGTGTCTTTACTTATGATATGCTACTCTAATTCGGTTTCCTCTGCTTAAATCTTTAAAAAAATATTTTCAATCTAATATATATGAAAAATTTTAGGTTTAAATTATAACTGTTATAAAATAATAGCTTAGATTTTAATTGGAATGAAATGACGTGCCTTAATCTCCCCCTATATAAGAAGTCAGACAATAATTCATTCTTTATTTTTATTTAATATAATATTACAAACTATGA